TCCAGAGGGCAAGGGGACAGCAGGCCCAGCTCACTACTCAGCCATCACGAAAGGTAACTTTGAGTCAGACAGAGTGAGACCCTAACGCTAAGTCAGACACAAGGTCAAATGCCATGTGGTTGCTTAGGAGAAAATTAAGTACAAATACTTTACAAAGTAAAATAAATAAAGGTAGGAAACAGAGACAGACTTAGTAGAGATGTTACAGCTTATGTCTGGAAGTTCCCCAAAGCCTTATGTGGTCATAGGCGGGAATTTTTCAGAGGTGACTGGATCTAGATTGTGTCAGGATGAAGGGTGGGTGATGATTACTAAATCAGCCCACTGACCGGTTTGGCACTGCGCTAATCCCAGGAGCCTGGACAACATCAGGACAGAAAGAGACTTGCCAGGCTTGCCCCTTGTTGCTTTGCTATCTTCTGACTGCGCTGAACCGTTTTTCCCCTCGGCAAAGTCCCTGTGCCATGCACTGCCCAGCCTTGGAGCCAGCTGATATGGATGGAAAACTCTACAAACCGTGAGTTAAATAAACTTTTCCTCCCTGAACTTGTGGGTGGCTGGGTATTTTGTCTCAGCAACAAGAAAAGTAACTAAAACAGATGGAAGCAGATTCAGGGATGGGGAGACGGGGGAGGAAGAAAGCGAAAGGGGAAATAAAAAGGACCAAGACTCGCCATGTGTGTATGCACCAATTCCCCACAACGGATGTATTTATTATGCATTGCAAAGCATATACTGCCAGGGAAAAAAAACTCTGCCAAGCATGGTGGCACACACCTGTTGTTCCAGCACTAGGGAGGCTGAGGCAAGAGGACTGACATGAGTTCAGCACCAGCCTGAACTACACAGGAAGACCTTGTCTTAAAAAAAAAAAAACAAGTAAATAATAATAATAATAAAAGGGAAAAATCAAGGAAGAAATTTAAGTTTTAAAAACAAGCTTTAAAAAATTTAAAATATACAATTGTTGCTTAGAAAAACTGAGCTACAGAAGCGAAGAGGTCTCATGGCACCCAGTGGAGGGAGGGTCTGGAACAAGCCATCTGGCCAGATGGGTGGCTGCTGAGTCCCAGGGACAAGGCATGCAAGCCAAGGTGACACCAGCACAGGGCACTTTGTGAAGCACTCCAAAAGCAGATGCTGACTCATGGTCAAGCTGAGCTGAGGAGACAGCCTGCACCTCTGAGGGGACAGTAATTTCCTCTCCTGTCCTGTATTACTCACATGCAGACGGATCTCCCCTAAAAATACCCACTATGAGTGGTCTCTGCATGCAAAGAAGTTTAGAGTGGGCACAAAGAGGACAATGGTGAATTCCAGTTCCAACTCTATCACATCAAAGGCTCTTCTAATGTCTTCCAAACTTCTCATTCAGCAACAGGGAAAACATCTGCCTGGCCAGCTTTAAACGGAAGAGATAATTAAATTCCCTAAGGATAAATCAGCCTGACAAGAAAAACAGTTTAAGTGGTGTGGTGGTAATCGCCTATAACCCTAGCTGTTTGGGTGGCTGAGGCAGGAGGAACACAGTTTGGAGGCCAGCCTGGGTGATTTAGCAAGATCCTGTCTCACAACAAAGAATAGAAAGGTCTGGGGATGTATCTCAATGTTCTCTAGATTCAGTCCCAAAGAAACAGTCTATATACAGTACAAACACTCAAGACAGAGACTTTCTTGCCTATTACCTTCCATCTCCATGTGTCTTAGTCCCAAACATTTAAGTAACATTTCAGTATTCTCTCACAGAGGAAGCAGTGAGTAAACAGGCACAGAACAAAGCAAACAGTGGTAAATCTGTGGGAGCTAAAGACAGAAGTCATAATTGCAATGAAGAAAACGGACACCAGAACTCCCTGGAGAAAGAAGTAACACCAGTGAGCCCTGAAAGTCCTCCATTCCTAAGAGGATCATGAACCAAAGTATCAGTGAAGGTAGTTCTTGAAGAAAGACAGCTGTGTGAGCCAGATGTGGTGGCACATGCCCATAATCCCAGCCCTTGGGAGGTTGAAGCAGGAGGCTCAAGGTCAGCCTGAGTGAATAAAGGAGCTTGAGGCTGGACTGAGCCACATAGCAAAACCTTTTTTCAAAAAACAAAAACAAATGATATATGGTACTTGTGTACATTTGCCTGAGTAAGAAATACAGAGGGGGCTGTATTTAGGGGACTGGGATATAAATGCACACAGAGTAGTTTAAACTGGTTTTGTTTCTTTCCAGTGTTATATCTCACTATCCTTAGACCTTTAGGAACAAACACAAGAATCTGGTTTTTAACAAAGATCAGAATAACTTGCTCAACACGCCAGTGTTAAGATAGTTTTTCTTAATGTTTTGCCATGTCAGCCTAGCAAAATTTACTCTGAAGTTCTAATTCATCTTCCTCTACAAAACAAACTATTAAGAAAAAATTGTGATACACAGTGTTGCTATCACTATCTCCCATGACCCAAATAATTAATTTAGTCTGAGATAAAATACTTGTACTCTGGCAGCCACAACATTGAGACAAATTAAGGAAAGGCCCTCCCGTCCCCGCAAAGAATTCTTTTTTTCTTGCAAAGAGGGGAACCAGGGAGGGAAGACACAGTCAAGACCTACCCTGTAGGGAACACGATATACAGAGCTGTCTGTATTTCCATCTCCTTTGGATTAAGTGGTGAAGTCCCACACCCACCAGGCTTTCCAAGCAGCTCCACTCCAAGAAAACACAGGGCCCAGCAAACACAGGTATCCAGTCCTAGCTCTGCCACCAACCTCGAGACTGGAATACGTTATTACTCAGTAGAAAACAGGGATGAGACTCCGGGACTCCAGGGGGGTAAGGTTCCCTCTATCTCAAAAACTCGGAATTTTTTTTTATGGTTCTCTATGACTTCTAGCATACAGATTAAACCTGACTTTCTTCCAGCCCCTTCTGTACCACCATGTTCAGCTTTGAGACTTCCACAGAAGAACCAGTTTGCTGATGCTGGCCATTAAAAAAAAAAAAAAAAAATGGGCGTGGTGGCCCACCCCTATAATCCCAGCGCTGTAGAACTGAGGCAGCCAGACCACATATTCAGATCCAACTTGGACAATGTAGCAACTTAGTGAGATCTTGTCTCAAAATTAAAACTTAAAAAAGGTTGAGAAAAGAAAAACACATGGCTGAGAATGCAGTTCAGGAAAAAAGACCTGGTCCTAAGTATTGGGGGGCAGGGGAGCCACACAGCACTCAACTTCCAGTTCCTTGGAATGACACTAAGGAGCGGAATAATAAAATCAAGATAAAATTACAGCAAATTGAATGCTGTATGGAACTACGCAGTCGCATTGCCGCTTTGGACCATTTTTAATAACAAAACAAGATAAAATAATGTTAAACAGTGACAAAGTATCATATGCCGAAAATGTACAACGGGCTCTGAAACCAGCATGACAACAGCCCCTTCTCTCCTCTTCTCCCCACTAGAGGCAGTGGCCAACTGTCTCCCATGCCACATGGTACCTGAGTGAGGAACAAAACTTCCACCACCATCAGCTGAGAACTAGACTTGGGTGGGGGTTAGGGGGTACCACACATGAATAGGGAGAACCGGGTTGTTCCACCTTTTCTGATCTCCACGGTGACTAAATTATTTACAGGATCACCCAGGTCATTTTGTTGCTAACTGTTCCACTCAGCTGTAAGTTTGTCTCTTCCTCCACTAGGAGGACTGGACTTCAGGCTGACCTGGGGACTTCAATTACACGCCAGGCATCAAAAACGTGTACCCTATAACAGAAACACGTTCTGGAAACAAGGGGGCTTCCAGAAAGGACTGGCATTCCAGTTTCGCTTTAATTACTAAAACTACTAGTAAAGAACACGTTACAACTCACAATTAAAAAAAAAAAAAAAAAGCGCTTAACCTTCAAAGCAAATGGATCATAAACTTCCGGACCCTAAAGCTGGGAGCTCAGGATGCGATGAATTTCCTTTAGTGAGGAAGTTTCCCTGCACCAGGCGCATCTGGGCCCCCGGTGTCCAAGTCATCCAGGGCCGGAGCAGAAAATGCAAAACCAAAATGGAGGAGGGGCCTCGCAGGAGGCGGCTCGCAGCGCCAACCTCGTGGCTCGCTCCTCATGGCGCCAAGCAGCCTTCCTGCCCCGCTCTGCCCGGCAGCCTGGCCAGCCCACGGGCGCAGAGCCCGCCAGCGCGGCTTCCCCCGGGCGCCCAGTGAAGTTGGAGAGGGGGTTCAAGGTGAGGAAGCAAAAAGCCCCACATCAAAAGCAGTGAAGGGAGGAAAGAAAGAAAGAACCATCTGCGGAGCTCCACCCCGCTTCACCTGCAGGGGCCCGGGGTGAAGCCAGGACGCCTCTCCTCCCCTTGCTGATAAAACAAAGAAAACGGCTTCTGGGGAGCCACACGCGGCGACCCGTTCCCGTTCCCGGGCGCAGAGGCGCGCGCCAACGGGCGCCGCAGAGCAACTTTCTCCTGGAAGCCGACCACGCTTCCTCTTTCCCGCAGAGAGAAGCTCTACTCTCCTGTCGCGGATGCCACCGCACTTCTGAGCTCAGGCTCTTCCCCGAGAGCCCCGCAATGCCCCGGTGGAGCTCCCCTTCCCCGGGACGCCGCCTCGCGCGTTCCCGTCACGCGCGCCGCACTCCCGGGCAGCCTTCCCGGCTCGCTGCGCCCTCGGCTCCGCTGGGCCCACGCGTCCGAGCAAACGCCTCGGGGACCCCGGGGAAGCCCTAGCCCGGGACCCCAGACTTGTAAAACAATAAGCTTCTGCTCTCCTGCCCCTCCCCCACGGGTCCCCGGCCACGAGTTAGAGCCGCGGGGTGGGGTGGGGGTGGGGAGCGCGCCAGCCTCCAGGTCTTGGCTGGTCACCCCTGGCCCCGAGGCCCGCAGTCAGCATCCGCCCGCCCCCACCGCTGCTCCCGGAGCCTGCGAACGCCACGCGGTGGCTGCAGCGAGGGAGCTGGCCCGCGCCCCGGCCACATGCGCCGCCCCAAGGAGGAGAGAGGCGCCGTCCTACCTTGCCGCTGGCTGTGCCCCCGCTGACGCCGATCAGGAAGGGCTCGCCGCCGTTGGGCTGCTGGTGGTTCTGCAGGGTCTGCTCGCTGTCCCCGGCCATGGCTCGCGCCGCCCCTTCTCTCGCCGCCGAGGGATCCGACGCGCGCTCCCCGCCCGCGCCCTCGCCGGGCTCCTCCTGCCGCTGGGCGCTGCCGAGATGTAGGCCACCGCGCGGAGCCGGGGATGGGATGGCTTTCCCGGCGCTGCTGCGAGCCTTCTTCTACCCGCAGCGGCTGGCGGGATTTACATCCCAGGCCGAGGTCAGCGTGATGCCGCTGCTCCAATCCGCGCCGGGAGCGCGCTGCTATTCGCCGAGGCCGCGGCCTCCGCCCCGCCCGGGTCCCGCCGCAGCCGCCGCCGCCGCCCGAGGGGAAAAGGTGTGAGCCCGAGGCCGCCACCCCGCCCACGCCCGATCCGCCCGATCCGCCCTCTCCCTACGCCCTCCCGAGGACCCAGACCCGGGGCCGAGTGTTTGGGTGTGGGATGCTGCCACCCATTCCAAAGGGAAGTTAAAAAGAGGGGGTGGGGGCAGAAGGGACTAATAGATCAAATAATGGAGAGGATGCCCACGCTTGAGACACAAAATGAGAACGAGCTGGCAAGGTTTGAAATGAAAGGGACATAATGAGTTCGTCTCATTTGCCATTTACCCAGGCTAAAAACTTGTTTTCAGAAAAATAACATTTTTTTTTCTGCTCCTCATTTGCCCAAAATAGTGTGCCAGCCGCTGGCTTCAGATATTTCCTGCCTTGGAAAGCCCCGAGCGCCATTCTGCTTAGCCGGCCTGTCCTCCCCTGACGCCCTAGTGAAAGGTGACATCGGGGCTTTATTGGTAGCGTGTCTTCCCCGGAAAATGACACGGGACCTCACATCCGAAATACTGGGGTTCCTGCGGAATTAGGGTTGGTGGGAACATCTTAAATCAGTGCCATTTTGATCGTCAGTGTCTTTCGCTGAACTGTTTTTTCAGAGACTGGCAGTTCACCCCTTAGCTGGGAGGCCAGTACCCGCGGATGACTGCAGGCTGCCTGCATGGTCAGGTCCACGAGCCAGACGCTTCATCTCCTGTGTCTGGCTGTGCTGTCCTGTTGAATGGAAGTGATAATGGCCTTTTTGTTTTTGTTTTCAGACAGGGTCTCACTGTGTAGTTCAGGCTGGCCTCGAACTCGCCGTGATCCTCCTGCCTCAGTCTCCAGAATGCTGGGATTATAGGGATAATAGGCGTGTGCTGCTACACCCTAAACTGTAATGGATGTTTTCAACAGAAATTTTTGGTGACGTTTAAATGAATCATTAGGGCTGGACCTGACAGTGCACACCTGTAATCCGAGCACTCTCGGGAAACTGAGGCAGGAGGATCACTGTGAATTTGAGGCTAGCCTGAGCTACAAAGGAAGTTCAAGGCCAGCCTGAACTGCCTGGCATGACCCTGACTCGAAAATACAAAAATAAAAAGTAGACTCCTAAATGAACTATTATGGGTAAAATTCTTAGAATAAGAATAGTGCCCGGTACAATCGAAGCCTAGTTAGTGTTTAAGAGAAAAGACCCCTGAGTTGAGTTTTGTGGCCCACGCCTATAATCCCAGCACTCTGGGAGGCTGAGGCAAGAGGACTGCAAACTGGAGTCCAGCCTGGGCAATTTAGAGTCTTAGCTTCATTCTATCTCAAAATAAGAAGAAAAAAAAAAAGGGCTGTAGATGTAGCTTAACAAAAAGGCCCTGGGTTCAATCCTCAGTAACGAGAAAGACAGAGTGTGTGTTTTTGCCAGCAGCCCCGAGGAAGGCAGGATTAGACTAGTAATTCCCAGCCTCTGCTTCTTGGAATTTGGGACTGGTATCTAAGACCTGATGGCGCCCTACCATCTAGGAAGTTAGTAACGTTTTCTTTTAATTGTACTGAATTGCCCTAAGTGGAAAATTATTTTGAAACAATACTAAAGAAAACTAAGAGTATCAGAGAACACCAGAGTTCTTTTTGTTTTTAAAATATTTTATGGGACCATTCACCAACCTCCAGAGCAGCTCAGATGGGCAGCTGTGATGGATAGGGCAGCTTCTTAGAACTAGGAAGCATAGGGATCTGTTTTGGAAGTAGGCAGTCATTAGTTTGATCCCCAGTAGTGATTTTAAAAAAAAAAAAATCTAAGAACTAGGGTGGGGGGTGAGTGTTGCTGGAAGCTGTCTCACCAAGCATCATGGAGTGAGTGGGTTTTACCTGGTCTTCCAGTTGGCCTTTTCTCCAGGATAGAAACCTAACAGACTACAGAGACTTTCTTAGAATCCTCTATAGGCCAACATAAGGCCTTTTAGAATTTGAAATTTGATGAGCCCATAGCTCAGGGTTAGCACGGGGATCCTCAGGGAAAGAGGAGGAGACAGCACCATCCTGGATCCTATGGTAACTTTTCCTAAATCCCTACCTGTCTTAGTCATAGTGCTTTTTCCTTTCATATTTTATCATAAAATTTTCAGAGTGGAGAAATGGTGCTACATCTCCAATCCCTGCTTTTTTTTTTTTTTTTAAAGACACTGTCTCACTGAGTTACCTAAATCACTAATTTGCAGTTCTCCAATCCCAGCCTCCCAAAGTGCTGGGATTATAGGTGTGCCCCAGCCAACCATGCCTGACACGGTTTTGTTTCAATTGATTTACTCTAAACTGATTTAAACATTTCTTGCCTCTTTTAAAAATTACTATGTATCTAACCACCTACAACAGTTTATCGCTTTTACCGTAGTAGGACCCTAGTAAATATTTGTTGGAGAATGAAGAGAAAGACACCCATGGAGCAGAATGGCCAGCAAGCAGGAAGGATCAATATGATTGTTGACTGAATGAACAAATGACAAATATGTATGAAGTAAGAAACAAGTGAACATAATCTTCAGCTTTTTTTTTTTTTTTTTTTGTCTTTTTGAGACAGGGTTTCACTATGCAGTTCAGGCTGGCCTTGAGCTCACTTTGTAGCTCAGGCAGGTCTCGAACTCGCAAGGATCCTCCTGCCTCAACCTCCAGAGTGCTGAGTTTACAGGTGTGAGCCATCATGCCCAGCTATTCTTCAGCATTTTGAAAGGAAAGGTGGTGTGCCTTTGATTATTATTATTATGTAGTGATTATTCTTACATATGAACGTTCTGTTTGCATGCCTGCTATGGTGTGGGTGTTGCTTCTCTCCACCTCCAAACTCATGCTGAAGTTTATTTGCCAATGTCAGAGCACTGAGCTGACTTAGGACCTTGAAGAGAGGAGAGATTTGGTCATAGGGACTCCACCCTTACAGAGTGTAATGCAGTTCCCACAAGACTGAGTTCAATTCAGGAGATCAGGTTGGTAGAAGGCAAATTCAGCTTTCCCTGGCCCTCTCCTGCTTCCTTCCTCCTTCCCTGCATCTTTGTCTCTTCCACTCGTGTGTGCCCTCACTCACACTCACCCTAGCTGTAGCCCACTCCTAGTGCTACCCTTGGCACTGCACAGAAACTGTCCACAGAAGTCCTAGTGCGGTCGGTCATCTGTTGCCTAGGTGAGCTGACTCATTAGTTGAGCTAACTGGCCACTCTTCTTTGTACCTCATCTCATGTGACTAGCATTTCACTTGTGCTCCAAAAAGGATCAAAAGCTTCCTTCAGGGAGATAAGGTCTTGGCAGAGGTCAGCCAGCACTTTGCTTGTCTCTTCCCTGTCCCCAGAGCTGCCTGGCTTCCATGAAGACAGGTACCCCAGCCTGTTTGAATTATTAAGAGGACTCAGCAGCAGTGACCTCAACAAGGACTTTTGAATCTCTGCTGTCTACACAGCTGGGCGAGCTGCCTGCATTGGTGCCTGCGCTGTGTCATCCTCTCTAGGGAGCTGGGTCACCAAATCCCATAGCTGGAGATGTTCAAATCACACTTGAGCCTACTGTAGCAATTACACTGCAGATTCTGAACTAAGTGATTTTGAGCTGTCCTCCTCCCCCTCCCACTGAGAAAACAGAAAAACACAAATATTTTTAATAAAACCAAGAATGACAACAAGTTCAAAGAAATGACGTTTGCTTGGTATGTGTGATACTTTGTTTTCCCTTAAACAGCTTTTGGTTAGTTAAGTTGGGGCCTGGTTCACATTTGGGATGAAGTCAGCATGAGTGTGCAGTTGCAGCTGGAGCCAAAGAACAATGAGAGACACTGCTGTCCGCCTTTGTCCGCCTTCTCTCTTTAAGGAGCCCTACTTTGAAACTAGGCAAGGAGCAGAATACTTTGCATCCGACTGAAATTTTCTAGGTGCTGCTTGCACCACGCTTAATTCTCTCTGCTTATCTCATCCCGAACCAAAATAGATGCTATCACACTTCAGCCTTGGTCTGATGCGTTCTGTCTCCTTGCTGTCTTTGAATTCTCATCCACTTTGGTCCATCAGCAGTGGCTCTGACAGGTTGTAAGTGCTGTTTTGCAAAGCCGTCCCCCACAGGATTAAAGCTCTCTCAGCAGTCACCTCCTCAGACACTCTCCGTCAACCCAGGAGAGTGCATCATCAGGCCAGCAGCAGTGGAGAGGGCTGCAAATGCAAATGAATGAGCTCCACCCCAGAGGTGATGAGCCCGGACCTCTGCGGGTGGGGCTGAGCACCAGGTGATTCCAAGACCCACTCACCAAAGCTTAGAGACACTGATGGACAGCGAAGGTGAATAAGCTGGAAAACCAAGTGCCCATTCTGGTCTTGTTACTAATTTTGTAACCTTCTATGGGATACTTAATTTCTATAAACCTCTGTTTTTTCAGCTGTTAAATGGCAACCCAACTGGCAGCTGAACACATAGTAGTTGTTAAATACCATGACTCTTCCCCTCCTGTTTCTGCCATAGCTCTCTGGTTTATCACAGAAATCCATCCTTGGGGATGAGTTTCCAAAAGGGACGCCTAATCTCCAAAGGTGCTTTCTAACAAAAGTTAAAACTTAGTGTCTAACCATAAAGAGATGATAAAATGTTTGAGAAGATAAATATAGAGGTGCTGATCAAAAATTATGGTGAATAGGCAGGCATGGAGTCTCATGCCTATAATCCCAGCACTTGGGAGGCTGAGGCAAGAGGATTATTGTGAGTTTGAGACCAGCCTGGCTCCAAAGTGAGCTCAAGTCCAGCCTGAACTACATAGTGAGACTCTGTCTAAAAAAAGACCAAAAAAAATTGTGAATACTTTTCTTAATAAATCTGTTACAATAAAAGACACATTAGCATTTATTATGAGATAATTATGTTTGAAGTGAGGGGAGATATTTTAAGTAGTGTAAAGATGATTAATGTGGCAATATTTTACTATAAATTTTTACATTTTAAAAATCACCATATTTGTTGA